ATCTTATTATTGCTTAACTAGATAAATTTGCGTGACTGCTTGATACGGTTGTAGAAATTTGATAACCGTATAGTTTCGGCTGGGTTAGCAGTTAGTAGAGCAGCAATGTCTCGTGACGTCTGCGTTTATAATAATTATACAAAATAGAAAAAAAGCGACATACAGTTCTCATGTAGCATGAACTTTCGCTGGGAGTCCGGGACAGACCAATAAGCGTCACGCAGCATGATTTTTTTTGGGACGTGGAAGAATTACCGCTGATCTTTCAGTTTAAAACAAATGCGCCGGCGGAATTCATGTTACCCCCCCTTCCCTCTTGATATACTATCTCGCATGGGTTTTCCAGTGAATACAGAGTCACGCATTATCGATCAAATTATGGAAGCTAGATCGCGTCATTCATTTTGTGTTATAGTAGTTTTGATTTCTCCTTCATTAATTAGATTTAGATTCAGTATATCCACATGTTGGTTGTAGTACTTAGGCCATGCTTATTTTTTTTATCCCAAGATTTAGATTCCGTATTCATTTTATGTTTTTTTTACATGCATTTGGATTTCTAAAATTTTGTTTAGTTCAACATTATTGTAAGATAACAAATCCTACAATTTGTAATATCTTGTTTGACTGAAACCCAAAATTATAGGGTAATAAATTTTAGAATTTGTAATCTACAGTTAGAACCAGAATTTCTAAAAGAATGATAGGTGAATATACTTGCTTTGGTGAGCTTACCTCCCACAAGAGAATGATATAGAACGATTATCTTTGGTCCAGTTGCACCCAATTTCACTGCACTTGAAGGTATTGCAAACTTCAAAGCACTGCATATGACTGATGCGTTGTATTTAGGGATGCGTTGTATTTAGGGTACACTTTCTAGTTATCAATTCATAAATATTTATGTTACCTTGACGTGGTCTTGTGTGATCAAATCAACTATTCTCAGTTGAGAGAATAGTGGGGGAAATGAGGTTGTAGAGAGAAAATCTCTCAGAGGCAGTTTTGAGGGGGTGGAGATGATGAGTTTGGCCTTTATATATAGTTGAGTATTCTCTTTGAGAAAAAAACACAGAAACGAACCCCTACTTGTTATCGAAGCCCCCTCAAAGAAACTCATCGTTCTTTCCTCTCTTCTTTGTTCACGTTCACTGGTATTAGAGATAGCGTCGATCTCAACTCCTAGAATGCCGCCAAATTCTCATCTCGCTTCAATCCTCAACTCCTAGAATGCCACCATCTCGAGCTAGTGTTGGTCGATGACTGCGTCTCGATCGACGGTGACTCTACTGCTTATCCTTCTATCTAACTCCAGTGACCACAGGGCCTCCGATGACTGCTTCGATTGACGATGATTTGCAAACCCTCATCTCGCCTTGATCTACAACGATAGCTGCTCTTTCCTCTCGTCCTCAGACCACCAACAATCGCCGGCGACCGCCGACGCTCAACCCGCCATCGTGGACGATTCCGTCTCCACACTCTAGCAGTTGAAGGAGATTGCATCACTGATCGAGACGGGAGCTTACGCGAAGGAGGTTCGGAGAATCGTCTGTGCCGTTCGTCACACTATCGGAATCCGCCGTTAGTCGACGGCGTCAGTGGTTTCGTCGTTCGTTTCTTTTCCCCTAGGTTCTGGATCTGAGGCTTATTTGAGGTTCTTGTCCTATCTTCACAAGCGACTCAAAGAAAATTTTTATTCGGCCCCTCCATTTTTATTTGTTCAGAAGAGCCATTTCTAGCTTTAAAAAAATTACTTTAGCCCCTTACACAATTCAGAATTCGTTTTCAATCAGTTGTCTGAACAAATTCTTCACAAATCCTATCCGGTGCAACTCAACGACAGCAGCAGATCATCTCCAAATCCAGTCAGAATCGACTTCGACAAGTACTTAAACCCTTACTGATAAATCTACACTTAAAGAAAAAAAAGGGTTTGAACAATGAAAATCGAAAGATAAAAAGGAAAAAAGCCTAATGCTCATGTTCATGGAAGATAACATAATCAAAGTTTTTAAACTTATAACATTTCCATGGACATGTGAAATGCTATAAAAGAAAAATACAACACCACCTCTGAAGTTAACATTCAACTCCTATTGCATAAATATAAATCTTGTCATATGCAAGAGGGAGACAATGTCGTAGAGCATATAAATAAGATGATTGTCATAGCTAAGGACTTATTCACTACTGAGACCGAAATCCCTGAAAGAATGCAAGTGGCAACTATTTTGAATAGTCTACCCCCTTCCCTTGATGTGGCTGCCACCACATTAAGAATAAACACTGCTATTAAATCTATCACTGATTTTCCTATGCACTTAGCGATAAAACAAGACTTAATAGCTAGTAGTAATGAACCAAAACCGAATATGGTGCAACAAAAGCTGAATTATGTCCGCCAGAGGCATAATGTTGGAAGCTATAAAATCTTGGTCCTAGTAAACCACATCCGCGAGGACTGAAATTGTAGGAGTTCAAGAGAAAGAAAGTACCCCGCGGAGCCTGCTACAATTATGGAAAGTTTGGGCATTTCAAGCCCACTTGCCCGTAAGGTGAAAAACAGGAGAATAAGGAAGGCTATAAGCATCTAGAACAAGGGGGTACTAGCAAAAGAGAATTCGTCGGTATGACGAAATGTAATGCTATGATGACGGATATCAACGGTTGGTGGATTGACTCCGGTGCGACTAGACATATCACAAAGGACAAGACTAGAGTCACAGAATTCAACGAGTTGAAAAAAGGAGAACAGAGAATCTATTTGGAAAATAATATCTATCTCGATGTAGAAAGTATTGGTTCATATAGATTGGCTCTTGGGGACAATATTCTTGTCCTCAAAGATTTATTCTATGAACCAGGAATTCAGGGCAATCTGATCTCTGTTCCCTTGATGAAAAAGGACTGGAAGTTAGGTTCTATAATAAATAGGTTTCTATAGGGAAAAATAATAAAGTGTATGCTATGGGAAAGTATGTGTCCGAGTATGAATTATTCATTCTTCCAGTAATTTGTAATAATCCTGATAATAAAATTTTAAATTTGGACTACTTGTCGTATTATATTTCTGAGTCTAAATTGTGCCATTCTAGACTAGGACATGCTAGTATTTTAAAAAATAAAAGAAATTATCGGAATGAACTTACTTCCTAAACTATCTAATGTTCAATTGCCACCATGTGAACATTGTTTAACTAGTAAAATAACTAGAAAACCTTTTATTGGCGGACAAAGAGCCAATAAATTTTAAGGTTGATACACTTGGATATTTGTGGTCCCCTTAGTGTCAAAACTCATAGTAATAAAAAATATTTTATTACTTTTATAAATGATTATTCTAAGTTGGCACATGTCTATCTTATATTTTGAAAATTAGAAGCTCTTGACTGCTTTAAGAGACATAAAACAGAAGTTGAAAACCAACTTGGAATGAAAATCAAAATTTTGAGAACTGATAGAGATGAGAAATATAACACTAAAGAATTTGAAAGTTATTGTATTCAGCATGGAATTAAAAGTCATACAATAATGCCGCATACGCACAACAGAATGGTGTTGCTGAAAGAAAGAATAGAGCATTGCTGAATGTAGTTAGATGCATGTTGTCTCATTAATTCTGGTCTCTCTAAATTTTTTTGAGGAGAATCGTTGTTAACTACAAACTACATTTTAAATAGAATTCCCACAAGTCAGTTGTATCTACACCTTATGAGTTATGGAATAGGAGGAAACCAAATCTGAGTCATCTTAGAAAATGGTGAACTATAGCCCATGTTCTCATTCCATATCAACTTAGAAATAAGTTGGATTTTAAAACAATAAATTGTAAATTGGGTATTCAAAAAAATCGAAAGGTTATAAGTTATACAATAAAGAAAAATGAATTATTGAAATCAGAAATGCTACATTTTTAGAGAACCTAGAGGAAGAGGAATAAGTCCGAGAGGAAACAAAACCTCTAACTGTAATAAATGATTATTACAGTGTTGTTCACTAATGACCCTGATATTATGAATGAACCTAACCTTAAAAATGATTAAATACCTATGAAAAATAATGTACCTCCTCAATCAGTTGTAGGCAACAAAGGCTGAGAACACAACCTTCATGGATGGATGATTACTATTTATATTCATGTGAGACATCCTGTTTCGGTAGATACAAATATAGAGGAACAAGATCCCTTAATTTTCTCTGATGCAATGAAATTGCATGAACCAGCTTTATGGTTAGAATCCATGAGAGAAGAACTTGATTTTATAGAAAAGAATAAGGTATGGGAGTTATGTGATCTACCAGAAAATAGAAAAGTCTGCAAATTGGTGCTTAAAAAGAAATATCGTGTTGATGGATCTATTAATAAATTCAAAGTACGGTTAGCTGCCAAGGGTTACAACCAGAAGGCAGGAATAGATTTTTAGAAGACGTATTCTCCTGTAGCTAAATTTGCATCAATTAGAATAATTTTGGCGATTATTGGATATCTTGATTTAGAGTTATTCCAAATGGATGTTAAAACTACATGCCTTAACGGAGAGTTGAAGGAAGCGATATATATGCAACAACCTGAAGGTTTTCAGGTGAAAGGACATGACCATAAAGTTTACAAATTAATAAAATCTCTATACGGTTTAAAACAATCTTCTAAATAACGAGATCTCAAATTTCATGATGCAATCACTTAACTTGGTTTTATTCAAAATAAATTAGATAATTGTGTATATGTCTTAAAAAGTGAGAGCAAATTTACTATATTATCCTTATATATGGATGATATATTGCTCGCTGGAAATGATATAGAAATGTTGAATACAATCAAGGCAGATCTCAGCGAAAAGTTTGAGATGAAAGATATGTGAGATGCATCATATATTCTTAAAATTTAAATAATTCGAGATAGAAAGTCTAGAATGCTAAGTTTGAACCAAGAAAAATATTTAAGAGCAGTTC